CCTCGCCCACAGGGAGGGGAATCCAACAACAGCTCCTGGTTTGAAAAGGCCACGGAATTGTCAGCTAGGCACTGGATCTACCTGGAGAGGGGTGGTGTCCCGCAGGGTTCGGGAGTTGTAGAGCTGGGCCCCTTGCTATGGCACAGTTCCCCTGGTTTTTCCTTCATGTATCAAGTTGGATTTTGTATTATGGCCTTTGCACTTGCAGTTCTCTCTCCCAGAAATACTTCCCCACCCCACCCCAAACACCTTCTAGCTCATTCCCTAAACGCCTTTGCACAAATGTTGCCTTTTATTAAAAGCCTTCCCTCCACACTTCTTTTTTTTTTTTTTTTTTTTTTTTTTTTTTTTTTTTTTTTTGCTTTTTAGGTCACACCTGGCGATGCACAGGGGTTACTCCTGGTTCTACACTCAGGAATCACCCCTGGCAGTGCTCAGGGGACCATATGGGATGCTGGGAATCGAACCCGGGTCGGCCACGTGCAAGGCAAATGCCCTACATGCTGTGCTATTGCTCCAGGCCCCCCCCACACCTCTTTTAAGTTTCCACCACTGCTTCCAAAATTCCTAGTCTTTCTTCATAATTTTATTACTTCCATAACCCAGTACTGGACAGATTTACTAGCATAATATATGTTTTACTCAATTGGTATTGCTTCACTTGTCATATAATCATTTAAAATTATTATTTGTCATAACTTATATTTTATACACTCATTTATGACATTTACCACTGAGCTATATCCCTGGCCCCCATGTAATGTATTGTAACTTATGTTTTATTTATTGAGAATCTGCTGTAAATTATATTTTATTACCTATATCTTTCTCATCCAAAGTATAAGAAAAAAAATATATCAACATACAGGGATGCAAAATATTTTAAAATGCAAAACAAGATTTTTAGATTTCTAGTTTAGGCTTAGCTACAAAATATTAGCTATTTAAACAAAAATATGATAAATTACTCATATTAGTTAAAAGACAAAGATTAGATAAAGAAAAAAGATTGAACTATTCAGAATATAATGAAAAGAAAGCTGGTGTAGCTATGTTACTATTAAATAAGCTGTAAGGGAAAAGTATTACTAAAGAAGAGTTTGCTCTATCAGGTCTCAATAACAAATATTAAAAAATGAAAGTGGTACTATCATTGTGGGTGATCCAGGAATGAAAATATTATAGCAGAATATTTGAAATAAGTGTGTCAATAAATTTGGAAATTTAAGTGAATTGTCAATTAGAAGATAGTATTTCTACTGTAGTGATAGAACAAGAGTTAAAGCTTTCCATGAAGCTTACCTCAGTTCAGATCCCTGGGCCACATATGGTTCCCTGAGCACTGCCAGGAGTGATCCCTGAGCACCACCGGTAGGACCTAAAAAGATAAATGACGTTCTGGAGCCCACGACAATCTGCATCACAGGTGCCCATAAGTCATTATTAAATGCAGTCCACCCAACATTTCCTCCGCTTCACACTTCAGAAGATGCCAGAACAGCAGAAGACCACTTCTATATTCCCCATGTTCCATTTAAAAGCACAGTCGTGTCAGGGGCATTTTGTAATGCATTGCTGCCAAGCCTGCATTTAAAAATCATATAAAAGAACTGTGTGATCTGTTGCCCTCAGATTGTCTAATTCACCATCAAGGCCTTAGCGGTGTTAAGGGAACAGTACATTCTTATTTCTGTGACAGAGGAGATCCAAAAAAAAAAAAAAGCCAAATTATTGTGACCAAAAAGAAACAACCAAGATAATGTTATTGTTGAAAGAAAAGGAAAAAAGTCTACAGGAAATAGCTAAGCACTTAGCTGGTAGATAACAAAGAAAAACAAGAAGATATTATGGCTAGAAAGGAAAGAGTCCTCAGAGCTTTTATTCTCCAACCCCTGTTCTCTGTTCTGGAAACATCAATACTCTGTTAAAAGGCAGGATTGTAGTTGATAACTGATCAACTTTAACATTTGGGCAATGCCATCAGCTTCCTATAAAAAGGACCACTACAACAAAAGCTGAAAGAGCCTGTGTCTACAAAAAACCTTCCTTGCTGTCAGGCCTATAGGAAAAGTGCCTTCTGTTTATCCAGAAGGAGGGTGAACACCTAAGCTCAAAGGCAAAGTAGATCACTGACACCTGAAGTCAGAGGACCAACCTTACAACAAAGGCTTAACCATGCTGTAGAATAGGCAGGAAATATCAGTATCGAACCATAAAAAAACAAAACTTGGAAAGAAAAAAATATATATATCATTATGATTGAAGCAGGAGAAGGATTTCTAAAACTAGACACAGGGAGTAGTAACTATAAAATCAAAATCTAATTCAAAAGCATCACACTTAAGAACTTGTCTCCATTATGTAAAACATTAGAATAAGAGATACATAGGCAAGCTAAAGACTTAAAGATTGCAGCATGACAAAGGAGTGCAAACTCACTCTATAAATCAAAAGAAAACCAGCACCTAATGGAATGAAATGAACTACTACATTTGTCAACAGATGAAAAAAAAAAATAGGTGTGACTATTTTGGAAAACTCTTTGGAATTATCGACTAAAGCTAAACATACCAAATAACCCAATATTTCTGTCTTAAGGTGATAAGGGAACAAAAAAAGTGCATGCACACATGTACCAAAAGTCATGTATAAAAATGTCCATAGCGACATATTTGTAGTGCTTCTGGATTCAACACAATCTATCAGGAAAATAAACAAGTTGCTGTATGTTCATTCAATAGAAAACTGTATAACAAAGATATAATATTGCTACGTATATTAACATAGATATAACATAAGCAGTGTTGAGTGAAGAAGTAAAACCCGAGAACACACTGTATGATTACACGTAGATAAAATTTATTAGCAGGCAAACATCAGTACTAAGTACTTGTGTGCTTGAACTGCCATAATAAAATATCAGGTGTTGTAAATGACTGACATATAAAGTCTTACATTTCTGGAGGCTAGAAGTCCAGGGTGAGGGTGCCAGATGGTAAGTTCCTGGTGAGACGACTTTCAGACTTGCACATGCTCCCCTCAGACCTCTGTTGTGCACTTGAGAAAAGAGAGTGAGCTGAGCACTATGGGATCTCCTTATGGGAATGCTAATCCTGTCTATTTCAGCCCCATCCTGTGATCTCATTTTAGCCTGAATTTCCTATCTCAGGATGCAGTTACATTGGGAGTGAGGGCTTCACCTTAGCAATTGCGAGGACCAGGATAGGAACACAATTCAGATGTTAGCAGGATGACAAGTATTAATGAAAGCAGGTAGGGAAGGCAGAAGAGAGGTACCCTGACACGTGCGTAGAAGAAATTGTGATGCTGGATGTCTTCACTAGCAATGCTTTAACTCACATAGCTTTTCATTTTGTAAATTAAATTGCTCATATATATGTATATACATACACACACATATATGTGTGTGTATGTATGCGTGTGTGTGGAGAGAGCGAGAGAGAGAGAGAGAGAGAGAGAGTGCTCATTTTTGTTTTAGAACCACACTCCACACTCAGCAGTCCTCAGGGCTTACTCCTGACTCTGTGCTCAGAGATCATTCCTGGCGAGGCTTGGGAGACCAAATAGGGTGTCAGGTATGGAACCCAGCTTAGTCGTGTGCAAGGCAAACACCCTCATTTGTATTTTATATGATTTTCTGAGTCCGTGATATGCTTGAATGACTTAAAGTTGTAAGAAAGAAATGAAACTGTTGTATCCATTCTTATTTTTTGTTCAAGAATTTGTTAGTTGGGTTTTCTATTTCATTTATGTTATTGTTATTAACAGGGATTATGTTTAACTACTGTCACTTTCTGGTTCCCTTTAGAACTTGTTTTTATGTATTGATTTTCTTTTATTTTTTTTTATTCTTATTAGTGAAACACCATGAGATACAGTTGTAGACTTACAAGTTTTTGTGCTTGGGTTTCAGTTATACAATGATTAAGTACCCATCCCTCTACCAGTGCCCATTCTCCACCACCACGGATCCCAGTATCCCTCCCATCCCCCCATTCCCCCATCCCATCCCACCTCTGTAGCAGGGCATTCTATTTCTCTCCTTTTGGGTGCTGAGGTTTGCAAAAGAGGCATTGAGTGGCAATTATGTTCGGTCTATAGTCTACTTTCAGCATGCGTCTCCCATCCTGGGAGGATCCTCCCAACACCCTTTACTTGGTGTTCCCGTCTCTGTCTGCGCTGCCTTTTCCCCTAGCATGTGCAACTGGTCTTCAAGCCATGGAGTGAACCTCCTGGTACTTATCTCAACTATTCTTGGATGTTAGTCTCCTCTTTTGTTACTTTATATATATATTGATTTTCTAATATGTTGTTTTTCTTTTTTTTTCTTTTTGGGTTACACCTAGCGATGCATAGGGGTTACTCCTGGCTCATACACTCAGGAGTTACTCCCTGTGGTGCTTGGGGGACCATATGGGATTCTTGGAATCAAACCTGGGTCGGCCTCATGCAAGGCAAACACCCTACCCTCTGTGCTATTGCTCCAGTCCCTAATACATTGTTTTTCTTTTGGAATATTTTGTGTATGTGTTTCCTAATACTCTGATGAATTGAGTTGAAATGATGGATTTTTGTCCTTGAACATTTTCCCATGTAACGATTTTCAACTTTCCTTAATCCCCGGTCTGCACTTTATTAAGTTGAATCAGTTGTTAAAAATATATTGGATTCTGTTAAAGATTATCTCTGGTAAGATTAGAGAATAGAGGGACATTCAAAGGTGAACTATCTCCAAATATCATCCATTTTTTAAGATAGAGTTATTGCGTGACTCTACTTTCTTCTGGTGCCATCTGTCAATTAACTTGACATAGCAACTAGAAAGATACATTAATTTATACTTTCAGCGCATCTTCAAAGAGATGGTGAGATACCTTCATAATCACAGAGGCAGACAGGAATCTGGTTTCCTCCTCAGATATAGTAAAGTAATGGGTTACCCCTGAAGAAAAGTCTCATCCTCGTGTTTTTTATTGTAGATAATCCGCTCCTTTCTGCTCTTCCCGACGATTGAGCGAATGTCTGAGTCCCCCAATGGAAGGATCGCCACTCCACTCCTGTGTTGGCTTCGCTACGTTCTCTACGTCTCTGGCTACATGCTGCTGAAACCATTCCCGGCGTTTATCAAGTCCTTACTCATTAGAGTCGGCCTTCAGCTGCTGAACATAGACAACGAGTTTTACAACCTGAATTTATTTGAACCGTTCTGCCTCAGTAAGCAAATTTTTTTAATATTTACGTTTATCCTGGTATCAGAAGCTATTGAGTTAAATCAAATTGATGGAAGGTTTTCCCCCAATTTTGAAAACCGTAAATAAAATGAAAGTAGTTTGCAAGGGGTTCTGTATGACAGAACAGAAAGCCTCAGGAAGCATGAACCTTATTCTTCTGAGTAGCCACTCGAGCCGCTGGACAGTGAGAGAGAATTCTTATGTGCGTGATATATGTGGAACCCTTACAAGGATCCAGGGTGATCCCTTTTAGCTGAAGAAATGGAAAAATCTTACAAAAATCAGTCTAATGAGGGGCTGGAGCGATAGCACAGCGGGTAGGGCGTTTGCCTTGTACACAGCCAACATGGCCTTCCTGGGTTCGATTCCCAGCATCCCATATGGTCCCCCAAGCACCGCCAGGAGTAGTTCCTGAGTGCATGTGCCAGGAGTAACTCCTGAGCATTGCCGAGTGTGACCCAAAAAGAAAAAAAAAAATCAGTCTAATGAAGCCAGGCCCAATATTCTCATGGAGCCATATGATGATGCTGTTGTTTTCCTATTTAAATGTTTCAGAGGAGTTTAAATGATAAAAGTAATAAGTAATGTTATGGTAACATAATATTGGGTACTTTGTGGGTGATATTTTGAATGCGCAAAGGAATGTTTTTACTACTTTACTTTTTATTTTAATTGTTGTTTATAAATAATTTCTATTTTTTAGTTAATACTAATGTATTATATATTTATTCATGATTTACATAATAGAATAATTCTACTTTTGAATCTATAAAATGGGGGTAATAATAGCTCATACCTCAAGATGATATAGGATTATATATAATAATAATGGCAGGTACCTATCTAGTATATCATTTATGATTGATTTTGAGTAAATAACAGTTACATTAGCTAAAGGTAAAGGTAAAGGCCCTCCCGTTGATCGTCGATTTGCTCGAGCGGGCCCAGTAACGTCTCCATTGGAGACTTTGTTGTTACTGTGTCTGGCATATCGAATACTCTCGGTAGCTTGCCGGGCTCTCCGAGAGGGGCGGAGGAATTGAACTCGGGTCGGCCATGTTGGCCGCTTGTAAGGCAAACGCCCTAGCTAATGGAACTATTTTAAACTTTTACCTACACATCTCAGAAAAATTCATTATGTTTAGGCAGTGTTTCTGTCCCCATTTTACAGATGAAGATACTGAGGTGCAAAGTAATTACACAGTTACTCATATATATGGTGATTGGTATCAAACTTAGATATTCTACCCCTGTATTTCGTCTTACTCTAACTTTTTGTCCCAGTTGATGTAAAGGCTTGTAAGCTTTAAAATAAACTTTACATGTTCATCTCCATTAAGAGAGGCACAAGATCATGCACATGGTGACCCCAGTGACAGCCATGCCTTTACCATTGTACAACTACAGATTATATGGGAGGTATTGTTCCAAATAGATAGCAATACACAGTCATCACAAATGCACAGTTCCTCAAATTTTTTGTATTGGTGGATTATTTTTCCCTCTAGGTGTTATAACCTTGGCATAGCAGTAGAAGAATATGGAACAGGAAGCAAAGCTAAGGACGGTCCGAGATTAAAGTTGAAACTTAAAAATCAATTGTTCTAGGGACCAGGGAGATAGTACAAAGGGTAACGTACTTGCCTCACGTGCTGCTGACCATATGGTACCTGAGCCCCACCAAGTGTGTTCTCTAAGGGCTGAGCCTGACACAAACCCTGAGCATCACTGGGTGTAGCCCAGAAACAAGAACAAAATATTTTATTGATACAGTCCCGTCCTTCCTTCAGATGAGAGAAAAGAAATAAATGATGTGACCAGTGAAATGGCACCGGCTGCAGTGAGAACCCCAAGACTCTCATTTTGCTTTTACCCCAGACCCACTGAGCCCTCAAATTTGTTTTTTCCCTTCACTGGTTCGCAGTCATTGACCAAATCAAGAGTTACACTCAGTGATCTCTAATTTATATAAGACCAGTGGAAAATCACTTGAAATTCTGGCAAAAATAAAATGATTCCATATATACCTCATTTTATAAGTCATTTTATTTTCCTGTTTAGTTTTGTTCCTTTTTTTGGTATTACTATTTTTGCTGCATCAAAAGAAATGTTGGGTGAGGAGTAGGGGTTGTTAAAGGGGTTTGGGCTATACTCAAAGTGCTCAGGGATAACTCATTGTCATACTCAGGGCATGACCATATGTGTTCCCGGGAACTGAACCTAGGTTGGCCATGTGCAAGGCAAGTGCCTTAGATACTGTACTGCATCTGTGGCCACTATTTTATTTTGGTGGTATGAGGTTGCACGGAAGGAATTTTAAAGGCATTCTCTAGTCAGGGACTCCATCTTCCTCCAGGGACTTCTGCTTCCAGAGAGTTGGATTAGATACACTTTTCCCTCTTTCTCCTACTAGATCCTAATAACTCTACAAATTATCTATCAAACAAGCCTAAGTTGACTCTGAAAGCCAGAAAGGAAAACATACTCTACTGTGACCTGGGGACCCAAGAGACAATCCCATGGTACATTCCATCCAATATTGGGGTTTCTTTCACCACATAAATCCTAGCCTTGGGGTCAGCAACCCAGAAACACCAACAAGGTCAAATCAACAAAGGGCCAGACAAAAGCCTCCACCAGCCAAATGGACCAGGAAAATGGCTACTTTTGATAAGAAACTTTTAGATAACTGCTGTAGTCTTTCCCAGCACCATAGCAAAAACTAGCCCTGTCCCCACCAGGCCAGCAAAGACCAAGTGGGAGACCTGCTGGATTTTACCTTCTTCCAGTGACACGGACATGGCTCTCCCGTTCCCCCCAGGACCCTGCTGGGATGTAGAGGGCTGGGACCTGCACCAGTGTCCTGTGCTGATGGGGCACCTTTTCTCATGTCAGCAGCGGCCCTGGTGGGAGCGCTAACAACATCAGAGTGGCTTTGAGAACAAAGGAAGTTCCTAGGGACTGAGGAAGGCATTAGATAATCAGGAAAGCATCAGAACCCCCAAAGAAAGTCAGAGCCCAGAGCTCATGTGCCTCACGAACCAGCTGAAAGGAAAAGTGGACAAATCCACAGTTTTCCTCCATACCTAAATTTCTAAATACACCACTCTTAACAGCTGGATGCTAAAACAGAAAATTAGAAAGAATATGGGAAATCTCCTTTACAGTAACACCCACAAACAGGATTCCATAAACATTTATAAACACTCTTTCGAAGACCAACTGCTATAATTTCTGTATACCTCTAAACCTAAATATTTTCTGAACCCAAATCAAGACAGGGGATTTAAGAAGGCTTCAGTTCTGGGTATCTGATTAATGACTATATATAATGTATTATCAAGGTTTTAGTATTTTTAATTAAAACAGAGAATTATGTAAGGGTGTTTTTTTTCCCCAATATCAGAGTTATATTCTCTTTGAGTAACAGGGCCCAGAAGCTACACTTGAAATAAATCTTCCTTTCAGCAATAGCAGTTGACCTCATTCTGGGTCTTCTAGCAGCCCAAGGAGGGACCCTCAAGGAGGAAGATAGTTTGAACACAGAACACATTTTCCTCCTTCACTCCAGGCAGCCAGACCCTTCTAGCCATACTGTCATTTGGGAAACTCAAAGGCCGCCTCTCCCACACAACTCTGGTTGAATTATACCACATGCGAAAAGACTCTCAACCGGACAAAACACAGCCACGTTGCATAATTTCTTTTAAACACCTTGCAAGCAAACTCTCAAAGCCCAACTCTTCTGTTTCTTACTTCCGTTCTCTCATCTCTTGCCCTATTTTTCATCTCACCTGAGATCTAAGGAACTGATACTTCAGCAGTTTCTCTCTCTCTCTCTCTCTCTCTCTCTCTCTCTCTCTCTCTCTCTCTCTCTCTCTCTGTCTCTCTGTCTCTCCCCCCACCAACCCATCCAGTCTCTGTGATTGGATAGGGAAAGGGAAAGGGAAAGGACCCCACAGCAGCGGAGCAGAGGAATGTTATCTTCTTTTTTCCTTTGAGTTCTTGCTTTATTCTTTGCTTGTGTACGTAGTCCAGTCTCTTGGAAGTGACCACAAGCCCGTCCAGGCATCTCAGTCGTCCTCATCAACCTGCCCTCATTATCATCATTCTTGCCTTCTCTGATAGTGTTAACTGCCACACAAGCTACCTTTGCCCAGACTTGCTCTGGCCACCCTCAAGGCAATTCTTATCTCCTTGCTTAACAGAGAGGACAGTTCTCATCACATAAGATCCTGGCTCTTGCAAATGAGTGGGGGGCTCCTCCCAAACTCACATCCCATGTCCCACGGGCCACAGCTTTGAAGGTAATCAAGAATCAAACCAGTCCCGTGGTACAGTGGCATGAATTTCAGGTGACGCAAGTAATGATACCAAGGGAAAAGAAGCCCCAAGTCCCAGACCATGCTTCATGGTCATGTTTGTGTGATCTGAACTTCTCTGGCACATGACTGTCATCAATGGAGGACCTTTAACATGCTAGCTTGACTTTTAGGAGGCCTTGCAGTGTTGACACATTATGTAACGTCTGTGTTCCATTGGAAATCTGACGGAAACAAATGGAGGAAGTTTGCCAGTCCAAGAAGTGGATAATAAATCCTGCCCAATCGAGATAGAACCCATTTTCAGTATCCTTTAGTTTATCCACATATTTTTTTGTTGTAGTAAGGTCTGAGAAATTCAAGGATCCTAATATTCCAGTATTTCAGATGCCGTTGCCCTTTTGGAGACGGTGGCCTTCCTGTGCCAGGTTGAGTGAAACGTTTTCTACCCAGCATTTCAGAGCAGTAGCCCTAATTTGGTCAGTATTTTTTGCAAAATTTTGTCACAGTGTTCATCAGATCAACTTATCGAAATGGACTTGTTTTAAATGTTATTTGAAAATCTATAGATGAGGTTTCATTTTTTTTAATTTTTAATTTTGGAATGTCTGCTAACATTTTCCTTAAAATAGATGTTCTATTTCATCACAGTTTATGAAGA